GGGCAGTGTAGATGAGACCTGGGAGCCGGGTTGCTCAGTAGTAAGGTTGGGTGAGACCCGTGGGCGAGGCCCGTGAGTTTTAGCAGCGCAGGTGGGACCTGGTCGGGATCTTAGTGTCAAGTTAGAGGGTCGGGGATCCCAGGTTTGTAGTGCCTGGATGGCAAGATGGAATAAGCAGTTATAGATGGTCGAGGTTTCTTGGAAGTCGCTGAGAGCGACCGGGGATGGTGTTGCGACTAAGCTACCGGAGGGAACGGTAATCCAGTCATTGATAGGTTGGTAGGGACCAGTGCGGTCCCGGTTTATCAGAAAGTCAGTCGGGGAATAGTTGAATTGCCAGTCGGTGGCAGTGCGAGTATGCAGCGTATGTTGGGGTTCAGTTAGTTGAGTCGAGGGGTGCTCGACACCAAGGTTGGCAGGAAGGAGTGTCAGTGAGTGCTGACAATGATGACCCGTTTTGGGAATAGCAGGGAGGTGTTGGAGTTAGTGAAGGATAGGACCTTCTCGGTGTCAAAGGAAAAATCAGTTATGAGGCTTTGCCTTGGGAAGGCAAGGGATTTGCGCAAGGAAGACCAGCGCAGGTAGGTGGCTGGTGAGGGGTATTGGAGGTAGATCGTAGGCGGTGGACCATGGTAAACTTCGAGGACGAAGTTCAGTTTAAGTGGGGGAGAGTTGTAACACCCAGGATTTTGAAAGCCAAGAAAGTAAAGGAAACCCTAAATTTAAGAGGGACTCGACGAGTCCAAGGAAGGACTCGGCGAGTCGGAGCGGGGTCCGGGTCGATAAGAAAGTGACCAACTCGACGAGTCGGCCAAGTGGACTCGGCGAGTCTGGTCTGTGCGGGGAAAACCCTAAATCCGGGGCTTGGAGCCTATTTAAGCATCTCAATCTTCTTCCTAGGGCTCCTTTACAGCCTCTCACACCCAGAACGCCGCACCATTAAGCCCCATTGTGTTCATTCAAGCTTTTAGCCATTTTTGGGTGGGTTTAAGGAAGAAGAAGGAGTGGGAATCTTTGAAGCATCAGGGAGTGGCTTTGGAGCTGAAGTTTGGGAAGCATTTCAGAGCATTGGAAGGTATCAATTCGTTTCCCTCCTCCAGATTTTCCTTGGTTATGAGTTTTGGGGTTTTTAAGCCATGTTTAAGATCAATCTTGAGCTTGAGGTCCAGATCTGAGGTTGCTACCTCAGATCCATGCTTGTTTTGGTATGGAATCCCAGAAAGTATCAGCCATTGGGTGGAAATTGGAACCTCTTGGTCCTAAACCCTAGCTATGGGTGTATTTTGCCTAGATCTCCATCTCTACACGTAAAGTTTGCAACTTTACGTGGGAAATAGGCTTGGGGAGGGTAGATCTACAGTTTGGAGCTCATGCATGACTCGGAAGTCCTCTGCATGTAAGTGGATCTTAGTGGACTCGACGAGTCCTTCGAGTGGACTCGGTGAGTAGATTGAAGAAGAGGAGGAACTCGACGAGTGGGATGAACAACTCGTCGAGTCGGAAGAAGATAGTCATGAACTCGGCGAGTTGGATGAACAACTCGGCGAGTTGGTTGAAGATTGCCGTGTGCTCGGCGAGTTTGTTGTTAGACTCGGCGAGTCAGAATGAGTGGTCCCAAACCCTTCGAGTTAAGACTCGAGTCAGCGAGTCGGGCCAGAACTCAGTGAGTTGGACAGGATAGGAATCGGAAATCAGTAGACTCGGCGAGTCAGGGGCTGACTCGGCGAGTAGAGTCGCGAGTGGAAGGACTCTGGACTTATGAACTCGGCGAGTCAGTAGGGTGACTCGGCGAGTAGGGTTGATCTGGAAGGTTGACTTTGACCAGGACATGGACTTTGACCAGAGTTGACTTGGTTGACCTTGGGAGGTCAGTTAGATTAAGTATGAGGTTGTATTTGGTAGATCGGGGAGCTAGCGGAGCAGCAGTGCGGAGTTAGCGGACAGGTAGCGGTAAAGGGGTTAGCAGCAGCAGTTCAGCAGTATCAGGTGAGTTTCCCTTTTGTGTGAATGGGTCTAAGGCCACAATGCCGGCCCATGTAGTTATGAGTAGAAGACCTGGGGGTTAGCCCTAGGCACAGTATGCTAGCATTGTTTGCAGTACGAGGTCCAGTAATAGCGGGCGGGCGCCCAAGGAATTGTTTATATATGATAGTCTATACTTGTTGTCTGTGTGATACATGTATGTACCTGGTAGGGAGGTGAGTGTGGGCGAGGTCCCGTATCTCCCAATAGCAGAGTGTGGATGGGGTTCCATATCTCACTAGTAGCAGATTAGGGGCGAGGCCCGAATTAGAACAGGAGTGAGAGTGGGCTAGGCCCGTACCTCACTACCATTGGGAGCATGGATGGGGTTCCATGACTCCTCAGTAGCAGGACATGGGCGAGGCCCAGGGAAGGCGAGGCCTTCGGACAGAACCAGTTGCACGTGTTAGTTATGTGTTATGAATGTTTATGTGTTATTATTTGTTGACGGGCGAGGCCCTGTGACAGGCGAGGCCTAAGTAAAACAGATCTGTACCCGAGCGGGGCTCGAAGCCAGGCGGGGCCTGGAGCGGCGGGGCCGTTGAAGCGGGCGAGGCCCGTGGTAAGGGGCGAGGCCCAAGATAGGGGGCGTGGCCCAGTATGTGCAGTATGTGGTTATGCATGGTATGTGGTAGGGTGGGGAACTCACTAAGCTTCGTGCTTACGGTTTTCAGTTTTGGTTTCAGGTACTTCCGGTAGCGGAGGGAAGAGCTCGGGGTGATCGCATAGCACACACCATAGATTAGACAGCCTGGGGACGTTTACTCTGATATTGAACATATGTTTTGAAAACTTATACTCACTTTATGTTTTGGAATGATGGTTGGTTTAAAAGTAATGTTTTATTAAAAGAAATTTTTGGTCTTAAATTTTTGGGTCGTTACAAACACACAATATAGTTTGTTTTTTTTTTTCAAAAACTAATAGAATAAATCCTAAATAAACAGAACCTACACTTAATAAATGTTGATTAAAACAAAAAATAAGTTAAGATCTTACCATATTTTCAGGATTATTGAAGAAATCGTCCATAATATCTCTAAGAAAATCGCAGAGAGAGAATTTATCCAAAAAAAAAAGAGTGAAAAAAAAAGTTTTTATAATCACAAAAATGAAATCGCTTTTCAAAATCGCAGATGAACTTTTTCATCTACGAACATACAAGTGCGTAAAGCACAATTATGTTTTACGAACTTGTACGTTTGCCCATTTGTGTTTTAGACACTTGTACATTTACAGATGGGTATTACGAAATCGCAAATGGACTTTTTCATCTGCGATTTTAATGGTTAATTTTGCAATTTTTTTATTTATTTATTACTATTTTCCACAAAGTAGTTAGTATATTTGTCTAGATTTATAATTTTTTTTTTTTTAATTTGAAGTGTCAAAATTATATGATTATGGTTAAAAAAATATTTTGTGGTTCATCGGTTAGGAGTCCAGTTATGGATTTTTTGGTAGGTCATTTTTAGAATTTTGTCCTTTTTCCAAATAAAATCACGGAGGAAAGTCAATCCAGCCCACCGCCAAGGGTGTCTAGGTTCATGCACCTTCGTAATCGCAATCCCAAATTACACTGGTTTTCCATTTCACGAATTAATAAATAAATACTGTAATTCACCCTCACTCACGGATAATTTACTAATTTAGCTTCCCCTTAAATTCACATGATTCTTGTTTCATCCTTCTCGCAACTTCTTATGATCCTCGTCTCCCTCATGTTTGAATGCATTTCCTTACTTTGGATGTCCTACATCAATGACAGGTAACTTCGTTTTCTGCTCAGATCTTACTTTATCATTCATTTTAGCTGTCTGGATTTTCGTTTAAGCATATAAATTTGGGATTCAAGTTGTGGAAAACAGCTACCTGGACTTTCTTTGACCTTCTATGCATGTGTTAATGGTGAATTTGGGATTTATTTTTGGATGATGCTCGTGTAGAATATAGGGTTAGGATGGTAAATTTGTAGGGTAATATTTGTGGATTTCTTTTCCGTCCACTAAAAAGCTGCAGTTGGATCGATTTTAATGTATAACAAAATTATCTTTCAAATGCAAAACGATCTGTTTTTTTGTTTTAATGTTAACACCAAAACAGTTTGTAATGCTTCAATGTACGTTCAGAGAACCTGCCTCTTATTTCAATGTCTGATTGTCTCTAAGTCAAATTGCTGTTTGTTTTGTCTTCAAACTTATTTTTCGAAAGATTGAGTATGCAATTTAAGGTGCTGTTTCCTTTTTATCCAATGTACTTACTATGGGGACATGAATAAATCCGGTAAATTATTATTGTTGTTTCCTTTTGACTTGATGCAGAAAGAAAAAATTAAAGGACTTAATGCATAAAGCCAGTGATACGAGGCTTTTGTTTAATGAATTTTAAATCTTGGTAAAATTACACCAATGTTGGCTGATGATACCATGTTAACAGCCAGGGTATCTCAGTATATTTTTCGGGTGTTTATTACTTCTATATTTTTTTTTTTGTGAACTGTGTTATTAGTAAAGAACAATACTTATTTCTTATAGGGATGGTAATTAATAATTCTTGATATTGTGACAAATGGGTTTCAGTTTTTATTACCAGTAGAAGTATATTAGCAATTGTGTATTGAGGAGTATAAGGGAACGTTGCAAGTCATCCATGGGATTTGAACTCGGGCAACTCCAAAGTGATCATCATTCATCACTAGGCCACCCCAAGATTTAAATGTTTATTTATGCAACAATTTTTCACTTGTTACCAATTTATGCAACTGATACACAGTATGTTTTCTGTATAGATGTATGTATAATTTCTAATGTTCTTTTCGGAAAGTATATTAATAACTTTAATACATATTCAAGAATTGTCAAATTTTGTTGTTTTTTCTACTGTAAACCATTAACCGTGTTTTGTTTTGTGTTTGTGTTTGTTACAGCTACAGGGCCATCTATTGTAAGGAAGGTGTCATTTTATGGATCTGACAAGTTTGGAGCCCCTTGAGGTTTTGAAAAGATTGCAAATATTTCTTTTCTTTTGATTCCAATTTCCTTCATATCCTCATCAACAAGATCATTGTTAGTTGTTTCGATAAATTGAAAAAGTAACAACGTGCTTCCATTTCTTGAGGTTGGATTGAACTTGAACACTGGAAATCGAGAGCTTGTGTTGTGGTAGCTCTCAAGGTATCTAAAACTGTTTCTTTTTATTACTTTATATGTTTTGTTATCAGGTAAATGCAAAAAATAGCATCATACTTTCATTGATATGTTTGTTATAGCATTCTACTTTATGGAGCATTGTAATTGTACTTTAAAAAATCTTGCTAATTATATATAGCAATATCATCCAGATCCAAAAAAATGTTTAAATGCTACAATTGGGCAGATCTTTCAAAGTAGAATGCCCTAATAATGATTCTGTAATAACAATGTCTTGATAAGAAAAAAATTGTAAGTAGAAAGAAATCGAATTACAAGACTATAATCATTCATGTGTTTTGCACAACAAGAGATCGAGAACGAATTTTTGTCCCATTGACAAGACACAAAATGGATTTGTTTTGTAGATATTTAAGCATGAAGCCAGTAGCAGCGGTTGATGTTGATGTTGAAGAGCAGGGTAGTTATAGGAAAGATATCGAGCATGATTTATGGCCACTTGGGGAAATCAAACCAACAAAAGGAAAGTTCCCATGTTGTTTGGTGTGGACCCCACTTCCAATTGTCTCGTGGTTGGCTCCTTTCATTGGACATGTTGGGTTATGCATGGAGGATGGAGCTGTGGTGGACTTTTCGGGTTCCAACCTTGTGAATGTTGATGATTTTGCTTATGCCGGTGTCGCTCGGTACATTCAACTTGACCGCAACCAGGTATTAAGCTTTTTAAATATTTATTATAGCATATCTTACTTTCATCTTTAGTGTTACAACATGATAATTTCAATATTGTTGTTACCATTAATTATTGTTATTGTTGTTATTAAGTGAAGTGTATGTATGTATGTATGTAGTGTTGCTTTCCATCAAACCTTGCGAAGCACACATGCAAGTACCGTTACAAGCATTCAGAAAACGGAACGGCTATCAGTTGGGATGATGCAATCCGGTCAAGTAGGCGGCAGTTTGAGCACAAATCTTACAACCTCTTCACATGTAATTCCCACTCTTTTGTTGCCAACATTCTCAACCGAAGTTGTTATGGCGGATCAATGAGTTGGAACATGATGAACGTGGCTGCTCTTGTCCTCTTCAACTTCAAGGCCCATTGGGTGGATGCTTTGGCCATTGTTAAATCATTTCTACCTTTTACTCTCATGGCTTGTTTTGGTATTGCCATTGTTGGCTGGTCGTTTTTAATTGGTCTTCTCTCATTTTCTCTTCTCCTCATTGCTTGGTTTTCTCTAGCTATATTTTGTCTCAAAAATCTTTTGGAATGCTAATGCTAATGCTATTGCTAATCTTATTATTTCTTTTAAAAAATATTATAAGTTGGTTTTCTCTAGCGACATAAATTTGATTTCTTCATAATATCGCATTGGTGAAATTGAAAATCATAAATTTGTGTTTGTTTGTTGGGCTTCGGACCTTGCGTTTAAAAATCTAATGATGATTCATTTTGCTGTCAATGTATTTTAAGATTTAAATGATGGCGAACAAGTTTCCCTTGTATGTTTAGCAACAAGGAGCGATAATACAAGCTTGTATGAGTACTTTGTAATTTACCTCCTTAGGTTGGACATGGGACTGATTTGGTGGGGTGTCCAGTGATATGCTTAAATAACTGGTGGTATATGAAGTGCCCATTCGCAACTAGGGCTGTAAATAAATACAACGTTGGACGAATCATTCTTCAAATGTTTGGTAGAAAGTTTGTTTATTTAATAAATGAATGAATATAAACACAAATTCGTGTTTGTTTAGTTGTTTATATTTGTTTATTTAATAAATGAAGGAACATGAATACAAATTCGTGTTTGTTTAGTTAAAGGAACAAACATTAACAATGATATCGTTAGTTCATTTATGTTTGTGAATGTTCATTTATGTTGTTGGTTCGTTTAAGTTTATTTATGTTTATATATGTTCAATTGTTTTTTATAACATTACTATCGTTATATGTTCGTTTATGTTCATATATGTTCAATTGTGTTTGTTTATCTTTGTTCGCTTATTATGTTCATGAATATAAACAAACGAACACAAACAAAATAATTTGCTAGATGAACGAACATGAACAAGCCATTATCCGTGTTTGTTCGGTTCGTTTACAGCCATATAAACAACTAAATGAATGAGAATTAGTTTTTGTTGATAAGTGGATGATGCTAAGTTAGTGATGAATGATGCGAAGATGTTCCTGACCAAAGTTGAAGAATAGTTTGAAGTCCGGTAAACTCCACACCGCATCGATGTACTTGAGTTTACTTTTTTTTTTTTAGCATTTATTTTGTTAAGATTTCTCCGAGTAGCCAGCATCACTCTAGTTCCCGTACACCGACGTGCACCATTACCATGTTTCGAAATGGTTACCTAGAAATCCACTCGACATTGACTTGGCTTAAGCTCTTTGTCCAATGATATTCTTCCACCGCAACATCCAATAGGCATGCACATAAGTTTAGGTTACCACCCTTTTACCCCCACTATATGTGTTCCCTTTTTTAATTAATTTTATAATTAATTAATTCACTCGTATGGGTCATACACACACTTTGCCATTCCTAATTATCTATTTATGCTTGTATTCTAATTATTAATTCAAGCCATATTACATGGTATGTCATACTATAAATGCGGATATTCAAATTCACTACATAGCATCATATATAAGTGTATAAAGAGATACACCTTTTGAGCAACATACTTTCTAGCATGTGTTTCTTAACTCCATGCAAAACATGTTATGACAAAATTGTAGCATGCATAACATCACATATTTAATACCAAATAAAATCCTCACCATTAGAATGAACCTATCATTATTTTCATGCATAAATTAACCATTTAAGGGGGCGAGCATACAAAAGCTCCTTAATTTATTTGTTAGTACAATTCATCACAAATTCAAAACCCAAACATCACATAAAACTCAAAATGTAACATCACATTCAATAATCTAGACCATACACTTATACTGAAGCATGCAAAATTCCCATATATGTACTTAAATAACCACAAGAATGACTCAAATCATGTAACACTTGGATCCTGATATGTTTCATTATTGCCCTTTATTATTCAAAAGTTTTATTTTAGCCCTTGGAGTAGTACACAGGGCATACCACATGGTACGCTTAGCATACTAGCTGAAAACCTAGTACGTGGGGTGTACCACATGGTATGCTTAGCGTACTAAGTAGATGCAGACGAGATTGTGACGCCTCGTACGTGGGGTGTATGAGGGTTACGCTTAGCGTATGAGGAGGATATGAAACCCTTATTTTAGGGTGTTGCACCTTATTTAAAGGCCTTAAGTCCCTAGGATTGGCCTCTTTACCAGCCCCCCAAACCTCCCAAAACTCTAAATCGACCGCTAAGCCTTCCTTGTGGTGTTCTTGAGCTCTCAAGAAGATTTTGGTGGTTATTTTGCCCTTTGTGAGGGAAGTAAAGAAGATTAAAGGTGCTTTGCTTGGTGAGGAGTCTATAGATCCATAATCATCACACTCTTTGCAAGACTTTGGAGGTATCAAGTTCATACCTTGTCTTGTAAATGCTTAGATCTATTTATAGCTTGATTTGTTATGCTTTTGGTCCCTTTTTGGGTTGATAGATGAGTTAAGACGTTTGAAGGACTTATTCTTTTAGACCTGAGCTTATTAGGAGTTCATTGAGCATAAAGGTGCCAACTTTATGGGGTATTAGATCTCATGCATGCATTAAGTCACTCATTAAGTCCTCTTTAAGCTTAACAACTTTATTTAGACATGCATAAACGTAAAGTTAGCAACTTTATGTGATAATCCAGCTTAAGGAAGGCAGATCTACGTTTTGGAGCAATGTATTAATGGATTAAGGGTTAAAAGTGAGTTTTGGTTGAATGGGTGAGTACGTTGGATATATGTGACAACCGTCAATTTCCGGTCAAGACAAAGTCAACTAAAGTCAACAAGTCAAACCGTTTGACTCAATTTTCCCTTGGGTACTAGAATTTACATTATGAAATTTCTACATAACTCTCTATTCTAATGAGAGATCATAAATCAAAAAGTGCGAACATCTAGATATCCTTAACCATAAACTGTGGTACGTGGCGAGCCCAAACCAATAAAACAATGTTGCATACTCATCGGGAGTGTGTAAGATCCTTAAACAAGGCTTAACAAGGTTTCCGAACCATGCATTGCGATGCCGGACACTCACAATTGTCACACATGGAACCTCTCTCAATCGTTTTCACTCTATCTCTCTCTATGTCAAATGTCTCCCTAATCCCTCCAAGTATGTGAAATCTCTCTCAAATATCTCTCTGTACGAGAAATCTCTCCAAGGATGTTAAATCTCTCCCAAATCTCTCCAAGTATGTGAAATCTCTCTCAAATATCTCTCTGTATTAGAAATCTCTCCAAGAATGTCAAATCTCTCCCAAATCCCTCCAAGTATGTGAAATCTCTCTCAAATATCTCTCTGTATGAGAAATCTCCAAGAGTGTCAAATCTCTCCCAAATCTCTCCAAGTATGTGAAATCTCTCTCAAATATCTCTTTGTATGAGAAATCTCTCCAAGAATGTCAAATCTCTCCCAAATCTCTCCAAGTATGTGAAAACTCTTGCAAATATCTCTTTGTATGAGAAATCTCTCCAAGAATGTCACATCTCTCCCAAATCTCTCCAAGTGTGAGAAATCTCTCCCAAATCTCTCCAAGTGTGAGAAATCTCTCCCAAATCTCTCTCAAAAGTTTCCCGTAACTTTTTAGAATCATTCGGGTCATTCCGACCCTTAACTGGGTCAAAAACAGCTTAAAACGGAGTGAAAACGAGTGAAATAGGCTTTAGGAACCGAAACCCTTCTCAAGGAGCCGAAGCTCCTTAAGGCCGAAAGTACCCAGGACGAACCGAGCCTCTGTTGGCCGAACCCAGAGGACCGAATCACTATAGTGAAGACCGAGTCTCGGTCTCTGTCTCTGTCGCTTCTCGCTCTGTCGCTTCGCCTCTCTGTCGCTTCTTCACTCTCTGTTCCTCCCGCCTCTCTTCTCCTCTCGGTCTCTGTTCTCTCTTCTCTCCTCTCTGTCTCTTCTCTTCTCTCTGTCTCTCTTCTCCCCTCTTGGTTCCTTCTCTCCCTCTTCTCCCCTCTCGGTTTCTGCCCTCTCTCCTCTCGGTTTCAGCATCAGAAGGCCGAACCTCGGCCAGATTTCGGAAATGTGTCACTTTTAGCCCCTTTTTGATATTTTTAACATTTTAAGCCCGTTTTTCGTGATTTTAAAGCGGGATTTTCTCCAGAAATTATATTTTAACATAATAAACCCTAAATATTAATAATTTAAACATATTTTGAGGAAAATCATTTTCTAAATAATAAAGATCTAATGGGGGATTTATTTAAGGTGGAGTGTTGACTTTGCCTTAACTTATGTCACAAGCAACCACCCCACACCCACTCTATGACCAGCCATACCTCCCCACCTTACCTAGGTCACTTCAATGTCCTTTACACTCAATTTACACTAATTCCCACATTTTTAGAGCTGGAACAAACATCCTCTCTCCTCATTTCTCTCATTTGCTCTCATTTCACTAAGTATCAAACACCACTTTTCTCTCAAACTTTTTCTCCACCAAACTCGAGATTCAAGGCTGATTATCAAGTGTTCTTCCACATTTGGTAAGCATAATCCATTCTCCTTATGATTATCTCACTTATTTCCACTCAAATCATGGATATCTTACACAAACTCCATCATATTTGTGTTAGAGCTTCGAATCTCCAAGTGATTCTTCAAGTGTTCTTGGGTTGAACACTTCTCTTCTTCAACACTTATCTACTGAAATAACTCAACGTGAGTTCATACCCCTACATTTTCATGTTTTCTAAAGTTTTCAGGGGGGAATACAAGTTAAAACACCAAGAACATAACTAAAATTTTCTAACAGCCTTCATCAGAAAAGTTCAACTCCATTCACGGACTGTTTTGGGCATCTTAAGCATTTTTGTTTTCAAAACTGTACACGGTGCAAATAGTTCAAGTTTTTAGCTTTAAAATGAATACTTGCACATCTCCATACGATTTTTCTAAAATTTATGGTTATTTTTACAAAACTGCCTATCATTTCAAACAACAATCCGGACGAGTCTGTGATTATGGACTTTTTCACCCAAGTTGGAGGTCATTAAAAATCGTGATAAAAATTATGAGTAAACTAGACACATTTTGTGAACTCTCAGAATTTACAGATCTAGTTTTTGACTTCATATGATTTTTCTATGATTTTTCCAAAACAGGGTAGAATGGCTAAAGTTAGCCAACAGCATGTAAATATCATAACACTTTGTATTATGTTGAGCAAAGTGTATAATCATAAGTTCTAATTATTGAATGTGTTTCCTTGTTAGTTTGTCATCATGAACTGAAACTAAGTAATTCATAATAAATATAAATCATTCATTTTAGAACACGTATGTTAAACTATAAGGGTATAGTTTGATAAATTCATAACACTAATACATTTTCATATAAGAGTTCATGCATATTACATACATTTTAGATAAACTATAATAGGTATATTTTATGATACATCACTCAACACACTCGTACAAAAAGGGTACATTCATACAAGAAAGATTTATATTCACACACATTTCACGTAA